TATCCTTCAGGATAGGATTATTTTTTCACCTATGTGACCTGAGGTTTTTGCCAGGCACATTCAATAAATATTTGTTGAATTATGAATGAATGAGAAGGAACAACACTTGATTAGTTGTATCACACAATGTCTAAGTTTCCTCAGATCTAACATTCCCTGATTCTGTGAAAATCCAACTCCAAAAAGTAACTTTACTTTGGTGGTTTGTCATTCATTGGACCTCAATGCTTTCAAAAATTTTTTTTCCTCTTCCTTCTAAGAATAAATAATATGGGTATGTTTTGAGAAAGAGTAGACAATGGTATCATTTAGAGACAATGTCCTAATGTCTTTTACTTTAGTAGGTTTGATGCTTACAGATTCCGACTCTTTTCCTTTATTTTCATGCCTGGAAGACAGGCTTCCAATGCATTAGTTGGCTATATGGCTACTTCATACTTTGCCCATCTCCTTCTCCATTCCCACAAACTCCTGTTTTTTTCCTCCGACATTTTTATCCCTTCTAACTTTCCATTTCTTCTTCCACACAAAGAACATTTATTGATCACATTACTGGTCAAGGGCAGCAAAAAACCCACACAACTTTTTATCTACACATTTCTGCAATTTCTATGAAAATCAGAGACCTTAAACATATATCAAGTTTAATAAGAAATCAAAGCAATTGCTAACAAATTCAGAGCATTCCTCAGGGAACCCTATCAATCAGTTCTAACAGTTGCACCCCAAGGAAGAGATAGCAAAATGTTAAATTCAAATGTTTAACTTTCTGGTATGTGAATTCACATAGCAGGTGCTCAATAAGTGAGTGTCTAACTTCAAGGTGTGTGTGTGTGTATATATATATATATATACTATATATATATATAATAAAAATAATATATATATATTCTCTCTCTCTCTCTCATGTATATGTATTTATCTCAAAAAGATCTTCTGGTTTTAAATATATTCATAAGGTTGTGCCAGCATTACCACTACCCAATTCCAGAACATTTCATCACCCCAAAAGGAAACTCTGTGCCCATTAGCAATCATGTTCCAAACCTCCTCCCCCTAGCCTGTGATGACCACTAATTTACTTTCTGTCTCTTTGGATTTGCCTACTCTGGATATTTCATATAAATGGAATAACACAAGCTGGGCATGGTGGCTCATGCCTGTAACCCTATCACTCTGGGAGGCCGAGGTGGGAGGATCGCTCAAGGTCAGGAGTTCAAAGCCAGCCTGAGCAAGTTCGAGACCCCGTCTCTGCTAAAAATAGAAAGAAATTAATTGGCCAACTAAAAATATATAGAAAAAATTAGCTGGGCATGGTGGTGCATGCCTGAGTCTCAGCTACTTAAGGAGGCGAGGCAGGAGGATCACTTGAGCCCAGGAGTTTGAGGTTGCTGTGAGCTAGGCTGATGCCATGGCACTCTAGCCTGGGCAACAGAGTGAGACTGTGTCTCATAAAAAAACTAAATGGAATAACACAATATGTGTTCTATTGTGACTGGTTTCTTTCACTTAGTGTAATGTTTTCAAGTTTCATCCATGTTGTAGCAGGTCTTAGTATTTAATTCCTTTTTATTGAATAATATTCCATTTTATGGATATATCACATTTTGTTTATCTGTTCATCAGTGGACAGTTGGATTGTTTCCACTTTTTTTTTTTTTTTTTTGAGACAGATCTCGCTTTGTTGCCCAGGCTAGAGTGTAGTCCATGCGTCGCCTAGCTCACAGCAACCTCAAATCCTGGGCTCAAGCAATCCTCCTGCCTCAGCCCCAAGTAGCTGGGACTACAGGCATGTGCCACCATGCCCGGCTAATTTTTTTTTGTGTGTGTGTGTGTGTGTGTGTGTTGTTGAAACAGAGTCTCGCTTGTTGCCGGCTAGAGTGAGTACCATGGCGTCAGCCTAGCTCACAGCAACCTCAAATCCTGGCTCAGCCTCCAGTAGCTGGAACTATAGGCATTCGCCACCATGCCCGGCTAATTTTGTGATATATATTAGTGGCCATTAATTTCTTTCTATTTATAGTAGAGACGGGTCTGCTCTTGCTCAGGCTGGTTTTGAACTCCTGACCTCGAGCAATCCGCCCGCCTCGGCCTCCCAGAGAGCTAGGATTACAGGCGTGAGCCACCGCGCCCGGCCTAATTTTTTATATATATATCAGTTGTCCAATTAATTCTGCGTCTATTTATAGTAGAGACGGGGTCTCGCTCTTGCTCAGGCTGGTTTTGAACTCCTGACCTTGAGCAATCCACCCGCCTCGGCCTCCCAGAGAGCTAGGATTACAGGCGTGAGCCACCGCACCCGGCCTGTTTCCACTTTTTGACTGTTATGAATATTGATGCTATGAAAATTCATGTACAAATTTTTGTGTAAACAAGATTAATACAGAAGTATTCACTAATGCACTAATCATATATTAATTGATATATCAATATATTAATTAATATAGAAGTAGTTGAATGTGGTAAGTATCATGTTGTGGATCTTTGTTGGTTTGGCTGCCCAGCATCTATTTCTCCTTCCTCGTAGTGACAGTACATATATTCTCTTATATGTAACCACATAAGGAAGCTGGCTCCACACCTACATTCAGGGGTAGAGCCAATTTAACTTAAGCCCTGCACATCATATTCTCATGGATCTTGATTAGATCAGTGATGAGCAGGTGACCTTAATTCAGGCCAACGAGCTACGAAAAGACTTTTGCTGGGGCTTCTGGGAAAGTTACTTCCTTGTTTTTCTGAAGTAGCTTCCTTGGGAGATATTCTCTTCTCTCTTCTATTAGAGATGAAGGAAGCACAGGTAGCCCTCCTAGAAACTACTGTAGCCATACTGACATAACTAAAGAGGAAATTTAGGAATATCAAATATTTTAGAAGGAGAAATGGAAATAAATCAGGTATTCAGTAATATCATTGAACCTCAACACTGAGGACAAAGCATTGCTTGAATTTTCAGTTGATCACTAAATTCTCTTCAATGTTTAAGACAGTTTGAGATGATTTTTCTGTTGCTTGCAATCAAAATATTACATCAAAATATTAACAGAAACTAATATTTTTATAGCATTTTATTAAAATATAACTCTGAGCTATGTGAATTCAGTTGTAGACACATTGGATTCTGCCTCTGAGAGTCATGAAAGGCTTCATATGGAAAGTGACATTTGAATTATAACTTGCCATTTAGAAAGTATTTACTAAGTACAATGGTCTAAACAAAGTTTAGCAGATTTCTTTAACTGCACACCTTCTGAGAGCCTTTATTTATTTTTTATTTTTTCAGACAGGGTCTTGCTCTATTACCCAGGTTGGAGTACAGTGGAGGAATTAAAGGTCACTGCAGCCTGGAACTCCTGGGCTTAAGCAATCCTTCTGCTTCAGTCTCCAAGTAGCTACAGGTGCACACCACCACACTTGGCTAATTAAAAAAAATTTTTTTTTTTTAGAGATGGGGTCTCACTACATTACCCAGGCTGATCTTGAATTCCTGGCCTCAAGAAATTGTCCCAACTCATCCTCCCAAAGTGCTGGTATTACAGGCCTTAGCCACCGTGCCCAGCCATGAGAACCTTTAGTATATTAATGTGAATTACAAATATATCCAAGAGAAGGGATATAATATACAGTGTTTACTAAATTTACTTCACCCTGAACACTTAGTAACATCTCAAGAAATACAGTTGGCTAAAGAAACACTGGTATGTACAATGTTAATGGATGGCCAGAAGAGAAGAACAAGATCATCAAGATATACTGGCTAGCTTATTAGGGAGTTTTTATGAAAATGAGAGCATTTCAAACAATTTTTTCCAGACTGGTAAATCCTGAACAAGTAGAATGGATCTAGGTAACTTCTTTTTTTGTTGTTGTTAAAAATATTTATTTAAAGAAAATACATTTGTCATATCTAGTTGCTGATTCTAGGCAGCTTCTTGACTAAGTCAAGCTCATCAGCCTAGCTCTTCAATCAAGAAGAAACCTGAGGCTGGGTGCGATGGCTCACGCCTGTAATCCTAGCTCTCTGGGAGGCCGAGGTGGGCGGATTGCTCAAGGTCAGGAGTTCAAAACCAGCCTGAGCAAGAGCGAGACCCTGTCTCTACTATAAATAGAAAGAAATTAATTGGCCAACTGATATGTATATAAAAAAAAAAATTAGCCGGGCATGGTGGCGCATGCCTGTAGTCCCAGCTACTCGGGAGGCTGAGGCAGAAGGATCGCTCTAGCCCAGGAGTGTGAGGTTGCTGTGAGCTAGGCTGACGCCACGGCACTCACTCTAGCCTGGACAACAAAGCGAGACTCTGTCTCAAAAAAAAAAAAAAAAAAAGAAGAAACCTGAAAAGGTAGTCACCAACAGTAAGTTACTCTTTTTTTTTTTTTTTCCACACAACAGGAATTTATTTTCTCATGGTTCTAGAGGCTGGAAGTTTAAGACCAAGGTGTCAGCAGAGGCCTGGGGGTGGCTCACACCTCTAATCCTAGCACTCTAGGAGGCCAAGATGGGCGGATTGTTTGAGCTCAGGAGTTTGAGACTAGCCTGAGCAAGAGCGAGACCTCATCTCTACCAAAAATAGAAAAAATTAGCCAGACATGGTGGCGCATGCCTATAGTCCCAGCTACTTGGAAGGCTGAGGCAGGAGGATCGCTTGAGCCCAGGAGTTTGAGGTTGCTGTGAACTAGGCTGACGCCACGGCACTCTAGCCTGGGCAACAGAGTGAGACTCAGTCTCAAAAAAAGAAACAAAAAACAAAAAAAACTTCGAGAAAACTTCAAAACTCTGTCAGCAGATTTGGTTTCTTCTGATGCCTCTCTCCTTGGTTTATACATAGCCATCTTCTCTCTGTGTCTTTACATGGTCTTCCCTCTCTATTAACAATGAATTACTCTTTAACAGTTTATCAGTAACGTTCTTTTCTGGAGTGCTGGAGCAAATTCAATAAATAAAACATAGCTTGCCCAGAAGGTTCGCCCCAGTGGGCGGAAGCTGCAAGTGCTGGACTTACCGGAAGTTGATGTGAACTTCTGGAGCCTCTGGAGTGTGTGGTCTGGAGCCCCTGTGAGGTCCTAGAGGGCGAGTTTGAGAATTACTCTTTACGAAGTGTGACTAAGTGGATATGCTAAGAAACAAGTTACAGGGAGGTTATTGAAGCAGGGAAAGCACGCCCCGCCTGGGCAGTGCACACACAAGCTACATTCCCGCCAGCGTAGTGAATGTGATCCTTCTCTGACTGCTTGTCTGTCACAGGATGTTCTGAGCACAGAAAGGTGCCTCAAGACCCCCTTGGTGTCCTTGACAATAACTGGGTGCTGGCTTTCAGAATCACAAATGGATCACCTATTCCTGTCCCCAAGCATTCATCAGCTAAAGGAGCTGGACCTTACTGGTACCATACTGAGAAGTTTCGATCCTGAGCCCTTCCAAATTCTACTAGAGAAAGTTGCAGCCACCCTGCAGGTCCTGATCTTGGAGGACTGTTGGATCACAGACTCCCAGCTGAATGTCATCCTGCCTGCCTTGAGCCACTTCCACCAGCTCATGAACTTCAATTTCTGTGGGAACCAAATCTCCAAGTCTGTCTTAAAGAACTTGTTGCGCCACACTGTTGGGCTGGAAAGGTTAAACTCAGTGGTATACCCTGTCCCCCTTGAGTGTTATGGTGGTAATTTTGACCATATCTACTGGGAGAGATTTCTCTAGCTTCGGGCTTCGCTGATGGAGATACTGAGGGATACTCAGGCCTTAAGGAAGCCCGAGGTCATTCTCTTCCGTAACCTGCCCTGCCTACCTGTGCCAGTAGGGCATCCTATGACCTGGAGCCCAGTCCATGCAGCTATGGGAGGCTTAGAAGGGAACCGTGAGAACTGTGGCAAGGATTCCAAAGAAAGAGCCAGAAATAAAGGGAACATGAGCTTAAAAACATGATAAAAATAAATAAATAAATAAATAAATAAATAAAACATAGCCATTAGTAAAATAAGCTAAAGTGAACATTTTTTAAATGTATTGCCCACTGTATTTATAGGGAACACTTGCCAAATAGAGAATTGAGTAATAAGCAACTGATTCCTTTATATTTGATAAGGGACCTGGTAATGCATTTGTTACATCTCAGCATCACTGTATACTATGAATGTACCCTGAAATAAACACTACATCTTTTCAGCTGTAGCTATCTAACAGGAACAATTGATAGTTGGAGAGAACTCTACAGGTTTGCAAGTGATAAAATTAGAGAACTAAGTGTTGTTTGTTACTTACTAAGACAAAATCATTAAGTCTCTAAAACCCATTTACAATTATTGACAGTAGCTCTCTTTAATACAGATGAAGAAGTCTTTCTCTTCTACTTTTTCCAAATCAGGTCTGAATGAATAACAGAATGATTAGAGCTTGAGACCAGACATACTCACATACATACCTATCTTTAATTGCCAAAGAAAACTGGACAACATTGCCATAAATTGCTTTCAAAAAAAGCTTAGTTTACATATAAAAAGATGGTGGGAGGAAAAAGATTAACTAATAAAAGAAACCCAGATTCTATTTCTAGAAAAGCTTCATGGCAGAAGGAAGAAAATAAGAAACACTGACCTTCTCTTTAAGGGTAAAGCCTCCATTGACTTCTTATATCCATCAGTCATTACAATACTTACCCAAACTCTAGGATGAAGCAATATCACCAATATCACATTCCTACTGGTAGAAAGCCAGCTTGTCTTAAAGCAGGTAAAGCATACAAAACGAATTCTTAGGCTGCAAAGATACAAATGCTGACAAAATGCAGTCTTTACAAGGAACTTCTTACCAACAGCTAAGTCTTTTTTTTCTTTTTTTCTTTTTTTCTTTGAGACAGAGTCTGGCTCTGTTGCCCGGGCAAGAGTGCCACGGCATAAGCCTAGCTCAAAGCAACCTCAAACTCCTAGCTAGGCTCAAGCAATCCTTCTGCCTCAGCCTCCCAAGTAGCTGGGACTACAGGCATGTGCCACCATGCATGGCTAATTTTTTCTATATATTTTTAGTTGTCTGGCTAATTTCTTTCTATTTTTTAGTAGAGACAGGGTCTCCCTCTTGCTCAGGTTGGTCTCGAACTCCTGAGCTCAAACAATCCTCCCGCCTCGGCCTCCCAGAGTGCTAGGATATCATGCATGAGTCACGACGCTCTGACCAAGCTAAGTCTTTAGATGCAGAGAAAACAAGATATTCCTCAAAGTGCCAGATTCATATACCAAATATTCACTCTCAAGTTTTGCTACTTTTTGCTTTAGCTAAATCTCTAGCTGAACTTTCTTAAAAGTATATTAATTATAAGAAAGCAATTGCCTCTTCCCGCCCCTTTAAAAATTGCTACAATATTCTTAGGACCCAAAAATTTGTCCATTACAATAAAACTTTCACTTCCTTCATGCTAGGTTTTTCCTGATATGTTACTCTGCTCCCTAAACATGATTCACAAAGGTCTTTTCATATAAAAAATATTTTAGGAACATAGATACGGTATATCTTCAGAAGAGTCAAAGATAATTTGAGATTTTACTCTTTTGGGCTTAAAGAAAGATCATTCGTTCACTCAAAAGATAACAGTGGGGCACTCCTGTAATCCCAGCTATTCAGAAGGCTGAGATGGGAGGATCTCCTTGAGCCCAGGAGTTCAAGGCCAGCCTGGGCAACAAGCAAGACCTCATCTCTAAAATAATAATAACAACCTGATTCCTTTCAATTGTTTCCACTGAGCTATGGAAATTTTTATTGTAGAGACAGATATCATCGACATCGTTTTTTCTTAAATTTGCAAAATATTCTGAAAGTATAAGATAATGCACTATATACATATACACTAGGTTGTCTTTTGTTATTTTTAAAATAAAATTATCCAGCCGAGTGCAGTAGCTCACACTATAGTACCAGCTACTCAGGAGGCTAAGGCAGGAGGATCGCTTGAGCCCTGGTGATTGAGGTTACAGTGAGCTATGATCATGCCACTGCATCTCTAGCCCAGGCAACAGAGTGAGACCTGGTCTTAAAAAATAAATAAATAAAATAAAATAATACCAGCTATTCCCACGTCATATCACCCCAGGAAGTAAAAACAGGGAATATAATTATTTCTTCACTTTTCACCAATAGCAAATATGGAAAGAGAAAGATAGAATACACAAGTTAAGACTGTTCTTTTTTTTTTTTTTTTTTATGACCTTCATAAGTGGAAAGACTGTTCTTGAATGGGGAAAAAGACAAGACTGAGGAAATAAGGAAGATCCAGGTGACTGACAAGAATTGAGAGTCAAGAAAGAGATAAGGAAAGGAAAAAGAGAGAGAATGACAGACAAAAGTCCATATAATTGAGTTGTAGAAAATGTAGGGTCCAGATAGAATGGACTACTAAGATAGAAAGACCACTGTACTGGGAGTCAGAGTAGTGCATTCTTGCCACACCTCTAAAATAATCAGCTTTGTGATGCTGTGCAGGTTATTCAATCTTTCTAAGCCATTGTATCCTCATCTGATGTATAAGGAGATTAAATAAACTGCCTCTGTTATTCTATCTTGAACTTTCTATGAATCCCTGGAAGGCTCCCAGGTGGTAGAAGCTAACATAAGATGGAAATTTGGAGGAATCTGAAGCCTAGCAAGAATCTCACAGAGATTGTCAGGAAAGAGGAACAGCCAGGGTAGGAAAAGAAAACTGAGAAGTTCAGGAGTCAAGAGCAAATGCCACAGGAACCATCTTTAAGTGTTTCCACCAATGTTGTAAGAGAAGAGAAAATCTGCCACTACCTCACAATATGAATACCACTATTAGGTTGAAACATATGAAATTGTTGATATTTGATTGTTACAAAAATGGCAACTTCATATGGTTCAACTTAATATTTTATATTATCTCATTTGGAGACAAGGAGTCCTCATACTGATGACAATTAACGATTAGCTGATTTACACAGAAAATGATAGATTTGATTTCTTAATTTTTTGAAAAAGCTGATATCACCCAGTTCACTAGTAAAACTATTAAATGGTCCCAACCATCTATTATTGTAGTTAGATTAATCTCTTCGTTTTAAGAATATAATTCTGAGATATGGTATTCTCCTTTTATCAGTATATTACCCATTTTCTACCAATTAAGGAAACTGAGTCATAGAATACCATAAATGAAAATCATACAATTATCTTTAGAGTAGATAATATTGATGAGAGCTTGAAATGGAGTGGCCAATGGAAAGAAGTTTAAACAATAATATGCTATGTCTATGGGAGACAGGGTAAAAATAATACCATATAAAAGAAACCAACCGGCCCAGGCGCTGTGGCTCACAGCTGTAATCCTAGCACTCTGGGAGGCCGAGGCAGGCAGATAGCTGTAGGTCAGGAGTTCGAGACCAGCCTGAGCAAGAGTGAGACCCCGTCTCTATTAAAAATAGAAATAAATTAATTGGACAACTAAAAATATATAGAGAAAAAATTAGCCGGCCATGGTGGCACATGCCTGTAGTCCCAGCTACTCTGGAGGCTGAGGCAGGAGGATCAGTTGAGCCCACGAGTTTGAGGTTGCTGTAAGCTAGGCTGATGCCACAGCACTCTAGCCCAGGCAAGAGTGAGACTCTGTCTCAAAAAAAAAAAGAAAGAAAAAGAAAAAAGAAAAAAAGAAACCAAGTATGTGCAGGAAAAGGTTGGCAATAAGAAAGATATTGAACCTACAAGAGGAAAGGGATATTCCAAACTGCACAGCTCAAAAACTTCAAACCAATCCTTGCCTAATCATGAAGGAACTGAAAGAACCATTTAGTTACATTACTCTGGTTCTCTAGTAAAAGGAACTAGCTCTAAGGAACTAAGAAACTAAAAAAGAGAAGTAAAAAGGGGTGGCTCAACCTTTGCCATCCAAACACAAACACCAAAGGACTGACATCTGGAGATCTGGATTTGGGGCTCTAACTCTGCCACTAACTTGTTATGTGACCTCGGGCAAATATTCATCTTTCTTTTTCTTTTGAGACAGAGTCTAGGCTAGAGTGCTGTGGCATCAGCCTAGCTCACAGCAACCTCAAACTCCTGGGTTCAAGCCGAGCTTCTGCCTTAGTCTCCTGAGTAGCTGGGACTATGGGCATGTAGCTGGGACTATAGGCACTTGCCACCACACCTAGCTAATTTTTCCATCATTAGTAGAGATGAGGTCTCACTCTTGCTCAGGCTAGTCTCAAACTACTGATCTCAAGCCATCCTCCTGCCTCAGCCTCCCAGAGTGCTAAAATTACAGGCATGAGCCACAGCGCCTGGCCTCATCTTCTTTCAAAATCTAAATTTTCACCTATTCAGGGCCAGGTGTGGTGGCTCATGCCTATAATCCTACCCTAGCACTTTGGGAGGCCCAGGTGGGATGATGAGATGATTGCTTGAGGCTAGGAGTTCAAGACCAAACTGAGCAAAAGCGAGACCCCATCACTACAAAAAAAAAAAAAAAAAAAAAAAGAAAAGAAAAAGAAAAATTAGCCTTGTGTCCAGGAATTTGAGGTTCCAGTGACCTATGATGACACTATTGCATTCTAGCCAGGGTGACAGAGTGAGACCCTGTCTGCCAAAAAAAAAAAAAAAAAATAGTTTTAAATTTTCATCTCTTCAAAGATCTAAGGGAGTGGAGCAGATGTTCTAAGCAATATAATTTCAAACTAATAGAAAATTTTCAGGAGTAGTACAAGGAACTCCCATAAGTCCTTTACCCAAATTCATAACTTATTTACATTTTGCTACATTTGCTTTGTTATTCTTTCTTTACATATGTGGTTATAAACATATGCACTTTTTTTTTCTGGACCATTTGAGACTAAGAGACGTCATATTCTTTTACCCCTGTGTGTATTTCTTAAGAACAAGGTCATTTTCTTATATAACCACAATATAGACATAAAAATCAGGACATTTAACATGAATAACAACATCCATCCAGATTTTGTCAGTTGTCCTACAACATTACTTAAAGTTATTTTTTTCCTGGCTCAGAATCAATTCAGGATCACACACTTGTTTACTTGTCATGTCTCCTTTGTCTCCTTTAATCTGGACCAATTCCTCAGCCTTTTCTTTTTGTTTCTTGACCTTGACATTTTTGAACAGTACAGGCCAGTTATTTTATAAAATGGCTCTCAATTTGGATTGGTCTGACATTTCCTCATGATAAGATTATTCAGTTTGTGCATTTTTGGCGGGATCACCGCTGAAGCAACCTTGTGTCCTCAGAGCTTCTTACTAGGAGACATGTAAAAGTCAGTTTGTCTTAATATTGGTGATGTTTAATGACTTGGTTAAGGTGGTGTTAATGAGGTTCCTCCGCTGTTTTTCCTTTGTCACTATTAAGTAATTTATGAAGAGATACTTTGAGTTTCTTATTCCATCATTCTATCTATATTTATTAGTTGTCATCCTATTGTAAGAAAAAGCTTTCCCTTTTCCTACATTTATATAATCATTCACATATTTATATCAATATGTACTCATGAATTCTTATACTATTCAATGATTTATAATCCATTACTATTATTATTACTTTTTTTTTTTTTTTTTTTTGAGGCAGAGTCTCACCCTGTTGCCCCAGCTACAGTGCCCTGGCGTCAGCCTAGCTCACAGCAACCTCAAACTCCTGGGCTCAAGTGATCCTTCTGCCTCAGCCTCCTGAGTAGCTGCGACTACAGGCATGTGCCACCATGCCCACCTAATTTTTTCTATATACTTTTAGTTGGCCAATTAATTTCTTTCTATTTTTAGTAGAGATGGGATCTTGCTCTTGCTCAGGCTGGTTTTGAACTCCGGACCTTGAGCGATCCTCCCGCTTAGGCCTCCCAGAGTGCTAGGATTACAGGCGTAAGCCACCACGCCCAGCCTCCATTACTATTATTTATTTTGATTAAAGCAAGGGTTCTTAACCCTTTTTGTATCATGGACCCCTTTGGCAGTGTGGAGAAGCCTTTAGACTTCTTCTCAGAATAATATTTTTAAATGTATATAATAATTACAGAGACTATTATATAGGTTTACAAAGGAAATCTATTATGCTAAAGTAGTTATCAAAATATAAAAAATGTATGAATAATAATGTTTCCTTATTAACACATTAAAAACCAAGATTCAGTAGTGATAAGTGCAAACGATATCAATGTGTCTACAATAACTGCAATGTGATATGAAATTATCTGTGATTTCTATTGGTGACAATTGTAAATACTCTACTGCTAATACTGCTGTAGTTTGTTGCCTACATTCATACTAAAAGGAGATGCTAAATTTCAATTATAAATTAGTAAAAATGAAGATGTAATTTTTTTCCCCACTCATGTTCATAGACCAAATAAAATCTATTCTGGGTGCCGGGCTAAGAGCCCCTGATATAGTTTTTTTGTGCCCTTACCTCTCTAAGGCCCTAACTTAATGCCACAAAGTACTTTTTCCATCCCAAAATTTCAATTCCCCAGTGTAAAAACTAAACAAGATTCAAAAGGACACAGACTTGAGTAAAAGAAGAAACTGCTTTCATACTCCAGAGTCCTACAGCATTAAGGCAAAGAAGAGACACCCTTGCCCCTGAAGCCTTCAATGATCAGAAGTTAGTTGTGAGTCCTTCAAGACTCAATGTAGAGAAACTGGAGCCCAAATAAGAGGAATGATTTATTTGGGATCTCACTAAGAATGGAGTCTGAGGCAGTGGCCAGAAAAGTCTTCTTTCAAAGGCTTGAAGATGAAAAAGCTTAATTGATGGGCATCTATTCAAACCATGGCTTCTACAATGACTGAAGACATGAAAGCCTTAAGATTCCCAGCTTGGGCCAGGTGTGGTAGCTCAAGCCTGTAATCCCAGCACTTTGGGATGCCAAGTGGGAGGACTGCTTGAGGCCAGGAGTTAAAGACCTCATCTCTACAAAAAATTAAAAAAAAAAAAAAAATGGCCAGGCACGGTGGCTCCCACATGTAATCCTAGCAATTCTAGGATTCATCAGGAGTTTGAGACCAGCCTGAGAAAGAGAGCAACCTCATCTCTACCAAAAAATAGAAAATTTAACTGGGCGTGGTGCTGTGAGCCTGTAGTTCCAGCTACTCCTAGAGGCTGAGGCAGGAGGATCACTTGAGCCCAGGAGTTTGAGGTTGCAGTGAGATATGATGACACCACTGCACTCTAACCTGGGTGACAGAATGAGACGCTGTCTCAAAAAAAAATTTTTTTTTAAATGAATTCCAGTGGTACCAACAATATGGATCTGCTATATGACATAGAGGCTGATGATAAAGGAAATGTCTTGATTTTATTACAAAAAACTCACAACTTGTGTTAATTTTTCTATAGGTTTGTCTGCAATGTGATTTTTTCCCCAAGAAATTAGATAGTGCCACTGTTCTCCCAGTTCAGTAATACATAAACCAGTGTCTTGACTCTAATGTCTATGGGGTACTGTTGTAGGTTATGTATATCAATACAGTAACATACAAGAGTTCTGAAAATTAACCCTAGATTTAATAAGAAGTGATACATTTTCACATATAATTTTTCATTTTACTTAAGAAAGTAATATTCTTGGGGTTCTTCCAATTTAACTTCTGAATTTAAATGTTAGAAATAAAATAGGATTGAGCTGAAAATCTAGTTAATTATCCTATAGCACAAACCCCATGAGAGGCATCAGTTTGCAGACCAGGATGTAACAGCAAGGTTGAAGCTGCAGTGAACTCTGGAGTCAGAAGCAGGAGCCCAGCACAAATATTTAGAGAAGCTGAAAGAAGTTAAAGCTGACCAGGCCAGGCGCAGTGGCTCATGCCTGTATCCTAGCACTCTGGGAGGCCTAGGTGGGCGGATTGCTTGAGGTCAGGAGTTTGAAACCAGCCTGAGCAAGACAGACCCCATCTCTACTATAAATAGAAATAAATTAATTGGGCAACTAATATATATACAAAAAATCAGCCAGGCATGGTGGCGCATGCCTGTAGTCCCAGCTACTCAGGAGGCGAGGCAGCAGGATTGCTTGAGCCCAGGAGTTTGAGGTTGCTGTGAGCTATGCTGATGCCACGGCACTCTAGCCTGGGCAACAAAGCAAGACTCTGTCTCAAAAACAAAAATAAAATAAGATAAAGAAAAATAAAGCTGACCAGATCACACTAGAAAGGTAAATTAGAAAAATACAGTTCAAATGCAATGTTTTCTAAATTGGTCAAAAGTATTCAGATTTAAGTTATACATCTCTTGATTGTATGAACAACATGGATTTCTTTGGATGGTGAGTGGGTTAGAGTTTTGGGTCTGTCTAACCTAAATCAAAGGGTTCAGACTCCCCTCTTCCTACTTTAGAAAGTTTGAATTCTACTGCAAACTAGATTCTACTTCTTTACCACTGGTCTTCCTTAAAATTCCTCACCAAATCTATGTATGTAGGCAAGTGTTTAAGACTATTTCATCCTTCCTGAAATAATAGCCATGTTTGTGAACACATATGCAAGGCTAAACAGTACATAATTCCTAAGGCTTTCTCATATTTCTCAGTATTTTAAATCCAGAGATCTGGCCATCTTTACAATTAAATTTCTCTTTCCTGCCATTCCTACAATCTTATTTTTTAATATTGGACTGCATCATCATTCTTATTATTCCTATTAAATCACTGCCCATTCCTGTTTCTTCTTATTTAGACATTTCTTAGCTATTCATTGTTCCCATCTCTTGATCTACATGTTCAGAACCTAAGAACTACACACAAAGAGGGAAAAAAGCATTTTGGGAGTTTAGGACTTGGAGGCTGCAGTGAGCTAAGATCGTGCCACCAAACTCCAGAGCCTGGGCAACAGCAACACCGCATCTCCAAAAAAAGAAAGAAAGAAAGAAAGAAAAAGAAAAGAAAAGATATATGTGTGTGTGTGTGTGTGTGTGTAATTCAAGTGATAAAATAATGGAATAGGGCCAGGCATAGTGGCTCACGCCTGTAATCCTAGCACTCTGGGAGGCTGAGGCGGGTGGACTGCTTGAGCTCAGGAGTTGGAGACCAGCCTGAGCAAAAGCAAGATCCCATCTCTACTAAAAATAAGGGGTGCGCACCTGTAGTACCAGCTACTCAGGCTGCTTGAAGCAGGGGTTGGCTTGAGCCCAGGAGTTTGAGGTTGCTGAGAGCTGTGATGACACCACTGCACTCTACCTGGGGCGACAGAGGGAGACTGTCTCAAAAAATAAAATAAAATAAAATAAAATAAAATAAAATAAAATAAAATAAAATAAAATAAAATAAAATAAAATAATGGAATAATTTAGAAACAATGAGTTTTTACTGATTTGAGCCTGTGGTGAAGAGCAGTTTTTTTCTCTATCGATAGATTGCTTTTGCTCTTTTTTTCTTTTTCAGAAAAAAGGTTTACAGAACCAATGTTCAGAAAATGTTAGCGTGCAATATTCTGTCTACTCAACAAAAACTGTCTTTTAAGAAATCTGCACTGTTTCTTGACACCATCCTTATGCTTAAAAAACATCAGTCCAATAAATGATTTAGGAATATTTGCAATAGAGAAAAATCATGATTAAAAAACCCTGTCATTTACAACTAAACAAAACTGAACAAAAACAGATCCACATTTACAATGCTTGGAATGAGACCCTCAAAACACTTAAAACTGAAATATGAAATCTCTAAATGTATAAATGTACATAAAATAGCAGGTCTCCTGTTACCTTGAATTCCTAGTTATAGCTTTTAAGTTTGTGGTACACAAAAGGTTTACAGAGGCAGTGTTTCAAGATTCTCTCTTGAATCCATCACCTCTCTTGCAAGCTCTCCTGGTCTTGAGGTGACTTTAGTCAGAGCTGAAGCCCAAGGAAGAACTGATTTTGAGGACTGGAAGGTGGAATTCAGGATAAAACTGCGAACTGTATCAACAAAGAAGAGAAAGTTATCTTTCAAAATAAATGGTAGGAGTCTTTTCTTTTTTTTTGAGGGGGAAAATTTCATAAAAATGTTCTCAAAACCGAAAAAATGGTCTCGAGTGAGAGCAGGGATTAAAACCATTACAGAATCTAAGAGGAAGCATTGCACATTGTTTTAAAACTTTACGTTGAATGACCTGCCTAACCTCTAAAAGCCTGCGTGCCAGCTAAAATCTCTAATCGGCCCTTCTTCTATCATAGTCATCGTGACACGGTTGATTTGGGGTAAATTGCTTCTATGCTAACTGGACTGCTGTGGTTTGGCCTTAAGCGTTGAGGGTCCCAAGAGGAAAGGTTTGGGGGCGGGCTTTCCGATGTTGCCTAAATAGTACAAAGTCGAGGCTTTATCCTGCCAGCAGTGTTACCACGCTTGATTTTGGGAACGACTCAGGGAGCCTTTAAGGGTCAGCCTGTCAGAGCTCTGCCCTGCACCTTCATTTCCCCATCTGTAAAATGGAGCAGGCGGCTGCTACCCTGAGGGAGGCAGGAATCAGGATTAGAACCCACGGCCCCACCAACGTGAGAGCAGCCATCCCGTTCCAGCAGGGAGGCAGTGGCGCGCAGACGAGCGAGAACAGGGCAGTTTGCAGGAAGTGCTTCAATGTTGGGAGGGGAGACGTAGGGCGGAGGCGGGAATGTGAAAGCCGAGCTCTAGCGATGGAGTTTGTACCGAAGCTCAGGAGGGGCGGGGCGAAACTGGGGTGAAGGGGTTAGTCAGTGGATGGGCAAGACGGGCCACCTCCCCCGGAAAAGAGGGAGCTGGGTGCGGGGGAGGCTCTGAGGTGGCGGATGAGGAACGTGGGGGGAGGGGAGAAGCGAACACGCTCAGGAAAGGGGCGGGGAGCGCGCGCCTACCGCACGCATGCGCGCGCCCAGCGCCTCCAGCTCGCAGGCCTGGGCTTCTGACCGCGCGCCCAGCGCCGACGGTGCGGACGTTAGAGCCCGAGGAGCCGCACAGTCTTCCCCGCCCCGCCGGGGTCTGAGAGGGCGGCAGTGTGTCCCTCGAGGTGGCGGGTGGGCACCTGTTACCCGGTGGAGATTAAGGAAGCAGGGGAAGGGAACACGTTTCTCCAGTACGCTTTTCATTTTCGTTCCCCTCCCCGACGAAGAATGGGGCAGGACGTCCTGGGCGTGTCGGAGAAAGTCCGCTCCGGGTTTTCCCGCCCACTTTAACTCAGTGAGCGCTTCGACCGCGCGGCGCTTCACTCCACCGGGCGCGCCCGAGCCCTCCGCCGGAACTCGTTCCGCCTCCCCCACACATCCTTCTCCAGGAATGGAAAGTGGGCGCTCGAACCTCTTTCCCTGGGAACCTTCTGCCCAGGCCACCAATCCCTATCTCCCCAGAGTTCCAACTCCCCCAGTCCCTGGCAGCTCGGATTCCCCTCTAATACAGTCGCTCTGAGGGACTACTTGATGTCTCCGTGCGCTCGGTGGTGCGGCAGCGCTCTGAGCTCTTCCTGGAAACTCCCGCCTCGGGGAGCCAGGAGAGCCGGACCGGGGGGAGGGGTGCGGAGGGGACGCACACGCCTCCTGTCCCGGGGGAGGGCTGCGCGCCCCCGCCCTTCTCCCCGCGGAGGGGAGGGGGGGGCGCGAGCGGGGGGAAGGGAGGGAGCGGGGCGCGGAAACGGGGGGGTGGCTTCCCGCCCCACCCCCTGCCTCCAGAACAACGGGTTCCCGCTGCTGCCCCCTGCCGCCCACAGCACCCCGCGCCCCCGCCGGGCTCCGAGAGGGGCGTCTGGGGAGCCGCTGCTGCTGGGGCCGTGGGAACCGGAGCGGAGATACACCAGAACTGACCGGTTTCCTGTTAGAAAACTTCAGTTACTTTAGAGAAGCCGGTTTCTCTAGCTTAGTGACCTCACTTCTACTTTAAACCGAGTAATGATCTTGGGGGAAGCAGTTGGTTGATAAGACGAAGAGCAACACCACGTTACTTTGCTCTGACTCAAAGGAAATTAAACAAAATACTGATTGTGAGAACTTTTAAAGGGCTACCAACAGAAGGAAGGAACTCGGGTTTTTGGAGTGATACCTTTTTTCCCCCGTATGTACACAAAGATGTACATACGAGTTTGTTACAGCGGCATATTTGCTCGTAAGCTTACTTGAGTTTGTGGTTTAAAAAACCTCGTGAACTTTTCAAAAGAGAGGCGTTTGTTTCCGAATCCAACAGAAAAAAAACAATTCGAAAGAGCTGAAAAAGTTCATTTAGAATAGCAGTCACATTTCAACATTTTCCATATTTTGCAATATTAAGCTGTGAGCATTTGTGCCAAATTTTAAGGCAAGAATTCTTACTGCCAAATTACAAATTTCTCAAGATGAGGGGTGATCAACCAAATTGCTGCCAGACCCCATAAACAGGCACTAACAGCACTGCTATAATTACACCTTATTATCTCCCTCGCAGCCTTATTTGATTCACTGCTGGATAAAATCCTCATCCTGGGTGTTACTAACTGGCCTCATGCCTCCGTTCGTCCAACGAGCAGTGTAACCCATCACCCTCTATTCCATCTCTAGTCTGTCTCTTCCCTAAATGCAACACAATCAGGTAGGTTGTTTTCACCCCAGCTTCCCTGGGGACTGAAAAATGAAGAAGATGAAAACAAACCTATCAGAATCACAAAAATGTCTTTGAAGAAAAAGATTTAGGCCAAGAAACCAAATTTGTTGTTTAACTTGAGCCCCCTAAGGGGATTTAGCATAGTGGGCTGAATGCAGTTAAACCAGCTTAATCACTTTCTTTGTTCTGGGCTCTTTGCATTTATTTAATGTTGTAATTTAACACGATTTGACATAACCTAAACTAGTTTTTATGTTAGTGTAGAGTCTACACTGTAGACCATAAAACACAACCAAACAGGAATTTCTGTGAAACCCTTGACATTTTGTAAAATTCTGTTCTAAACTGCTAGATGACCAAAACTAACAACGTGGGGGTGGGGTGGGGTGGGGTTTCGGTGCTAGGAGGTCATGTTTTTATTTTTTTTAAATCCAAAGATGATAAAAGTACAAAAATTTGGCCATGTAGACCACTTAATTCTTTTGATACGATCTGCTGGGAGCCACATTTACTCATTTTTGAAAGATTTTTTTTTTTCAATAGGGAGAAAAGGAAGAGATCATGCTGGATCTCATCTCTTGATAGATTCTAATTCTTCTAGCCTTTACTCTCCCTCTTAAATAACAATTCTACCCTGCTCCTCACCAGCCACAGATTGAGGGGCATTCATTCACAAATGACTCTTGAGCCTCCTTCTGAATGTCTGCTTCCTTATAAAGCCAAAACCTCAATACTAATGCTTAATGAATCAAGGCTTGTGAAGATGCAGGCAGAAAACCCAAGTGCCTGGAAGAAATAATCTCTTTTCTGTTCTACCTTTAAATTCTCTTACAACATGTAAGGATTATAATAATAGCTATTCTTTAGTATGTGTGAGCCAGGCGCTGTTTGTTCTAAGCCCTTTATACGAATTAACTTCTCACAACAGGCCTAAGAAGTGGGTACAATTGTTGCCACTATTTTATAGATGATGAAATTGAGTCGCAGAGAATTAAGTAACTTGCCCAAGATCACCCAGTCTAGAAACAACTGAGCTAGGATTTGAATCCTGGCTGTTCCTGTTAGGCTTTTCATCACTCAAGCTAGTTATAAATTTAACTCAATATAGAGTATAAAGTCACCATTAATCCACCACCTTTTGTATTCAGGAAGTCCTCTATGTGACCAAGTCCTGGGCCATATTTTTCCCTCTGGAACTCCAGTAAAGTGAAATTTGTTGAGATCTACTTCGGGAAAGCATCCCCAAATCAGATTACCCTCTTGGAAGCCAGCCTCAGACTGTCAGCATATGCACTGTAAGTGCTAACCAGGACAGACAATCCAACCTCACTGGATAGTAATGTTTTACATTACTACTTCAAATTATAAAGAAGCAAGATGGTTAAAGATGGTAAAATTCTCTGACGTTGGACAAGGTAGAAACCAGGAGGTAAAATGGGAAGAGTGACAGCAATGGAAGGAAGCTGAGAGAGAATAAATGTAACATATGTGCACATGGAGAGATCAGTATCACACTGCGAAGAATGCCGATCAAGGTCATGCAGAAGAGAAGTATGTGAGTGTGTTATGACAGAATTAGAAAAAGAGCATAAACGTGAAAACTGAGTACTGAGTACATGGCAAGGGGAGGTGGTGGGCAATGATGTTGGTTTTTTCCCATATGGACCTTCAAATAAAGTACTTTTAGGCTAGATTAATAGAAATACATCATCTGGAACATGGAAAGAAAGAGCTCCACTTTATCCTGTGTTAGACCACATCTAAGTAATGTGTTCTCTTTTAGAGGGCTATAATAAAGAGAATGACCAACCAAGATGATGAGGGGACTTGAAACCCTAACTTATGAAGAAGAGCTGAAGAATTCATGAATGATCAAAGAGCTGTCTTGAAATATCTCATGGGCTATTGTGTAAAAAAGGAATTAGACTTCCACTGAAAGGCTCCAGGGCTCTAGAACTGATGGGTAGGAACTTCAGAGACACATATTTTAGCTCAGAATGTGGAAGAAGTCATGGAAACATGAAATAGACTGCCTTAGGATGTAACAAGCTACATATCACTGGAGACATTCAAAGGGCGCATTGTCACTGGCCTATGTAATGTTTAAGGTGCCTTTCATCCTTACCCTGCCAGTCTCTTGGACACTGAAGAGGGGGAAAACAATATAGCCTACCTCATTGAGTTCTCGAAAAGCACTTAGCCCAGTGATAGCCAGCACTTTCTAAAAGTCAGCTGCTAATAACATTCCTAAAGTTATAAGGTTTAGTATTCCTACATTTGTCAGTGGGCAATTATTTAATCTTGTGTTTTTAGATCACTTTTTGACATCTTTATTATCCTGAATGGTGGCTTTGGTATACACTCAGCATCCTTAGGATATCCTTGTGTATCTAAAACTTATTTAGTAGTATCCAGGGAGCAGTATTGTGATTTCAGTACCACTAGGATCTTAAAAATTGAATTGTAGCCCCACGCTGCAATTCCGGAGGCCAACAATGTGGTAAGATAATGTGGGGTGACATCCCCCCACATTATAGGAATGGTGGAGAAAATAAACAATAAAATCTGGCAGACTGAGAGAACTCAAGCAGTGCAGCTTTGTGTTGATGGTTGAAAAGAAATAGCAACTGAGCTCAGCCTTATAATTCACACACAAGAATCAGACTAGGTGGCTCATCTTGAGCACAAAGTGTCATGAAGCCCATGAACTCAAGTGAAAAAGCTGGGTACTGGGAGATGAAGACAAGCCAACCAATGAGCTGGTTACTTGCTCACTCTGGAAAACTAGTTCTGTGAAGACAGCTATTCCATGAAGAATAAGGCTGACCTCAGCAGCATCTTCATAAAAAAGAAAGCACACATGACTTTTAAAAGGGACAATGAAGTTGTCTTAGCAATCAAACTTTTTAAAATTATTAGTTCCTCCAACCCAAAGGGAAAATTGAGAGGAGGCAGTAGGGCCCTGCCTCTGCTGAGTGACTACAGCAAGTGGCTTTACCTCTCCAAGCCTCAGTTTTCTCATCTGTGAATGGGAATAATGACACATTATTGCATTGACATGAGAACTATTTGGTATATTAAATGTAAAGTATACTTAGCACTGTGCCCAGTGTATTATTAGAATGAAGTTTTATTGGGGGAGGGGGAAGAAAGTGTGGCTATATTAGTGTTACTATGTTAGAGATACAGATTCTGCCATATGGAGATAGTGACATTAAACAGAGGGAATGGAGAACCATGCCATCGCACAACCCTCTTGTCTTGAAGTCCATCTGAAATGGAATTGCAAGTGTCCTTGCTCCAAATGCAAGGTAAATGATTTCCCTTCTCTCTCCTTTGGTTCTGTTTTTCTCTTCATGCTTTAATCATTTTGACACCAAGCTGTACAAAAGTAATTTAAAATTAACATGTCTGACACTTGGTAGCTAGCAGAACCTGATTCGGAACCCTGCCCCCTCTCCAGGGCAGCCAAAAGTCATCTTTCATTGGCTACTGGTCCTGCAGCAGCTGATCAAGGGCACAGGGAAAACACATCCAACAATTAATTTGCTAATTTAGTTTTCTGTTTAATTTGAAACCAGAAAATCCTCAATCACCCAGGAGCTTGGCTTTCTGGCTTGAGCATTGGCTTCTGAAACTTCTTGTTCAGTAGTGAGCAAAAGAAACAGAAAACAAAGAGAAAAAGCTTACCTTCTTAGATACACATCATAGCTCATGTGTCCTTCTGTCCTCAAAATGGTTTTTCTATAGGATCACAGTTCACAAATCCTTTACCAGAAGAATTGGGAACAATACATTCATACTCAATGTAGGTAAACTATGCCATGAGCTGTGGGGAATTTCCAGACCAATATGTGTTTAGGATTTAAAAACTACCTTAGGGTTACAGACAGACCCTGATGGGTTTCTGGCATTAGAAGTAAGCATTGCTCTGAATTGTGAAGCAGCTTGCAGCTTCCCTGGGAATTTCTCTGCTGATTTCAATAGGAAGAAGCAAAGGAAAGAGGCTTGTATTTGAGAGTTGGATGAGAAAATAGACAACAGGTACCCTTCTAATAGCTTTCGTTGCTGGAGAGAGTCTCAACTAAGAGGAGGAGAGGTTAGGCTCTACTCTCAAGTGTGCACCAGAACCCATCCCCCTTCTGCCACTCAGAGTGCTCAGTTGGTGGTTTGATTTCACTTTCTATTTTCCCACCTTAGAGAGGTTAAACTTTTCTGTTCGACTTCCAGCACCTTGTGTAATCTGGCCTATCAACTGTACCTATCAATCCTTATTTCTAACTCTTCATCAAAGTGTATGTTCTAATTTGGCCAGACTCAATGTTCTGAGAACATGCTGCTATGTTCCTGCCTCTGAACCTTTGTTCATTTCCCTACTGATTTTCCTCCATATGTTTTTCTTTCCTGTATTCAAATCTTATCTGAGGTGGGTGTGGTGGCTCATGCCTGTAATCCTAACACTTTGGGAGGCTGAGGTGGGAGGTTTGCTTGAAGTCAGGTGTTTGAGACCAGCCTGAGCAACATAGTGAGACCCCCATTTCTACAAAAAATAGAAAAATTAGCCAGACATGCCAGTGTGTCCCTGTAGTCCCAGCTACTCAAGAGGCTGAGGCAGGAGGATCACTGATCTCTCCCTTTCTGTCTTCACATTGGTAGCACATATGTACCAAATTGTTGGCCACTCTGATGAAAATAATGTTCAGTTATTTTCTATTTCAGTTCTAACTTTCCAAATAAACTATAAAGTACCTAGGGTCCACAGGGTCCACATTATACGGTTCCTTGGTATCCCCCATAGGTGTTCCCCAACGTGACCATTCATGATAATCACTGTGTGCTTGTTTAAAAAACAGATGTTATACCTGCCCTGAGATTCTGTTTTGTTAGGTCAAAGATGAGGCCCAGGAATCTATTTTCTGCATGGACTCCAGTATAACTAGTCCCTTGATGGGAGTTGGGGAATCACTGTTCATAGCACATGCCATGGAAGAGACTCAACTTGAGTATAAACATTTGCATGTAAACTACATATACAAATATATACTTATTTCTAACACTTGATGACCTCATGGATGGGCATTCTACAACCAAATGCATGCCTCAGGGCATAAGTTAGAAGGCAGATAATCTGGTTTACTCTCTGTGACACCAATTTGGTATGTTTGGAAACAGAATCTCCTCTAGGCTTTATGATCTCTTGGTAACTATAATTGCAGAGGAGATCAGGTTGATAGAATTGTAGCTGGTTAAAGAGAATAGTTTCCTATCATCCTTCATCAGTTGTAGTCTATAGCATTTGTTTGTGGAGTGATATTTAGGGGCAGGGAGACTTTGGTATGTGAAAAAAACTGTTCAGATTCTGCCCCAGGCACTACAAAATTAGCAACATGAAGCTTCCTGCCCGTATCCTAAATCCAACTCAAGTGTTAAATGATGGAGGATTAAGCTGTGATTCCCCTCCTGGAGTACTTGTTTTTCAGAGGGAATCCTCTGGAAGTGAGAGAAGAGGATTATCTTAATGACCCCGGACTTAACTTGACAGGCAGCCTGCCCAGAGCCCAAGATTTGGGAGAGCATTCTCATAGAAGATGACCCCCTAGACACTGCTCTGCTTCTTCCTATATTCTGCCATCCTCAATAAAGTAAACAATGACCAAAAAAGTTTCCATTGTTCTCAGAGCTAAGAGAATAGGACCCTTCCAGTTTAAATGTGGACATGCTGCTCTGCTGCGGATGTCGTTAGAAGAAACATCCAGGTCAGAGTTCCATCAGTGTTTTGCTGGAATACCATATTCTTACACTATTAGATTCAAAGAGAAAACCCATGAAGTGTTCTTTTATTTATTCAGCAAATATTAATTGAGTGCCTATTATGTCTCAAGTACTATTCTACATATTAGAGATACAACAGTGAACAGAGAAAATTCATAGAGATTACATTGTGGAGGGGAAAAGGATGGTAAAGGGGTGAGATATATATATATAAGCAAAAGAAATAACCATATAGTATGTTAAATGATAAGTGCTGTGGAGGAGAAATAAGCAGAGAATGGAAATGAGGAGTTGGGGGAAGGTTTACATTTTAAACTGAATGGACAGGGAAGATCTCACTGAGAAGGTGACACTAGTGTAAAGATCTGAAGGAGACCAGGAAGTGAACAAGCCATGCACATATCTGGGAAAAGAAAATTCCTCATAACTGATTTAGTACCTCTCAGATCCTAGGTTAAGACTCAGGATTTGTAAATCTAGCTTAACTCTAGTGCCACTGCTAAATGAAGAATAATTTCCCCTTTGAAAGCTACTCAGTCCTCAAAACTAAAAAGTCTTGCAAGTCTTAGTTGAAAATTGCATATCAAAAACTAAATTTTATTTATTTTCTTTGAGAGCCAAGTAGTACTACCATAGTCACTTTGAGGTATGGAAGTCTTCCCCCAAAACAACAAAACAAAGCAAAAAAAAAAAAAACCAAAGAAAATTCATGGGAATTTTCAGATGAAAGATTTTCATTTATGCTAATTAGTTACTTTAACTAAAAACAGTCACAGGAATAATTAGACACTGGATTTTAAATGGACTACCTTTTTTTTTTTCTTTTGGAGACTGAGTCTTGCTATGTTGTCCAGGCTGGCCTCAAACTCCTGGAATCAAAGGATCCTCTTGCCTCCTGAATAGCTGGGACTACAGGCATGTGCCACCTCACCAGCTTGGGAATATTTGTTTTTAAAGAATGAAAAAGCTTCTCTAATTTTGTTCTCAGGACAACATTGTGAAATATTCAAGGTTAGCATTATGCTCAGTTTGCACATGAAG